GGTTTAAGGACAAAACTCCCCGAGCCTCTGGGCTCAGAGACAAAAGGGGCCCATTCCTGGAATTACCCATCCCTGGGGAACTGGGGGAGCAGGGTGGGGCCTTCCTTGTCCCCAGACTGTCAGGTGGTGGGGGCTGCCTGAGCAACAGCAGGCTGACGGCATAGTCCCCCTCCTTTCCCCCATCTCTGCCGGCAGCCACCGCAGCTGCCAGGAATTAAGGGCTTGAGGCTGCTGGGGGTGGGGGTGGGGAGTGGGGGGAGCAGTCTGGCCGGACAGGAGGAAAACAGCCGGGGGCAGGAAGCAGTCTGCGTCAGCCAGAGCCTTATTTGACCCCAGCCACCCCCTGCCCTCCCCACTCTTCCCACCATGCTGTAGGGCCAGGGACACCTTGGGATTGGAGTTTAGGAAGGGTATGCGGAGGGACAGGGCAGGACCAGACTCATCACAGGAAGGAGGCATGAGCCTGGGTGGAGAGGGCATCAGCAAGGACAAGCTGGGCTGGGGAGTCATGTTCCCCTTAGCTCTTGGGGAAACTGAGACACAGAAAGGATTAGAGACAGGCCCAACGTGACACAGGGAATGGTTCGTAACCCAGGTCACGGACCCCTTCCTCCTCATCTAGTGCATGCAGCAGCAGTTCCCGTGCTCATGCATCATCTGTACCCCCTGGGGTAGGCCATTGTGGGAAACACTGATTCCGGGCCCCCCACAGCTGAAAGGCCTGGGGCTCTGCATTTCCCACCAGTGTCCCAGGTGATTTTCATGAGGACCGCATTTGGGAAATGCTGCTGATCTGGTTGAGCGGCTGGGCTTTTTTCCTTTGGCCTCCCTCTCATGAGGGAGGGTCCCTTTGTTCCCCCACCCTCCACTGTTCATGAAATGTAGAGGTGTAAAGGAGAGGGAGAAGACCCTTTCTTTGAAAACCCCAGGAAGCAAATAACGATTCCCAAGATTTGCTTGCACTCAGGCGTGGTCTGCCCTGCTGTCTTGAGGATCCAGGAGTGCCCAAGTCTGGGGCACTTCTCCTCAGCCCAGGGAGGTGACACAGGCACAGGGCCTTGGCATGGGTAGAGATGAGGCCCAGCCCCATATGACCCACGCCATGGGCAAGCCCCTATCAGCAGCCCCCAGGCCCCGCCCTGGCCCTGCCCTGGGCTCTGGCCCTCAGCCCAGCCCCAGCCCCCGCAGCCGCCGCCTGAGACCACAATTACAGGGGCCACTGGAGGTGGGGGGAGCACCAAGGATGAAAGGCTGCTTGGAGAATGGTTCCAGCTGTGGCAGCTCTGGAGGACGTTGCAGGGCAGGGAGGGCTGGGGGAGTCACCAGGGTGAGAACAGGTGGGACCCTCACAGCCCCAGCCCAGCCCAGGAGAGAGGGAGGGAGCCCAGACTGATAAGGGAGCTTTGTCCTATTGTCCAGGTCTCAGGGACCAGCACCCCTCAGCAAGGTAAGGGGGCATAGCGTGGGGCTTCAGCCTCCCGAACTCCTAATATGTTTGGTCATCCAAGGGAAGGAGAAATGCTTCCGGAGCCCTCAGCCTCAGGCTGATCCTGGGCCTTCCAGCCAGGCTCCCCACCCATCTGCTTGAGTTCCGGCTGTTCCTGATGTGGTCACGCACACATCTGGGGCGCCTCTGTGCTCTTCCCCCCTCTCCCCAGTTCCATATGTGCCCCACCACTCAGCCAGCGGGGGACCTTGATAGCTTAGACTGCCTGGGGCTGAGCAGCTGGGCGAGCAAGGGGGGCAGGCTGGGAGGGTACAGTTCAGAGCTCTGCTTCCAGCCCCCTTCCCAGGCAGCAGTGCAGGAGTGCAGAGCCATCTTGGAGCTTGATGAGGGCCAGAATAATGGTCAAGAGGGGTGTTCTGGCCGTCATCACTCTGACCCTTCACAGAAGGCAGCTCCCAGACTCCTGATGGACTTCGCTGCAGAAGACGGACCACCACCATATGCCTGGCAGTTTACAGATTGCAATGTGCTCTTACAATATACTAAAAAGCTATCAGGCACCCCCATTTCATGATGGGGAAACAGGCTCAGAGAGATTAACTGACTTGACCAAGGTCAAGCTTGCAAACTAGGCCTTTTTTCACCGTATCATACGACTTCTTCTGAAATCCTTTTAACCTGCTTGGAGTGGTGTCAGTTCATGCCACTGCCTCAGTTTCTGTCTCTGGCATCATGGGAGAATATATCCAGCATCACCCACCGTATCCCACACCCCCAGGAGCTGGTAGTAGAGACTAGGAGGCAGGCATCACAGCCTAGGTGTGGGCCAGCCCAGAGGTCCCAGACAGTCTGGAACCCTAGCAGCCTGCCCCAAACTGTCCACCCGGGTCTCCCTGCTTCCTTTCATCCCACCCTCTCCAGCCCGCCACTCTCTCAGTTCGCCAGATGTCTTGCAGGTCCTGTCAATCCTATTAATAGGAAGCTGGACTCTGTGCGCCCTCTGGTGGTCCCTGGGAGAATGCAGAAGTTTTTTTTTTTTTTAAATCTTGTACCCAGCGCAGAGCTGTGGGGACGGCAAAGATGTGAATATAAACCCTCCCTTAGGGATCTTCATTTCTCCTCCATGTGGCCCGCGATGCCAGTTAAAAGCACCCCTCCCCCCCCACTAAGTTAGCCAAGCCCCCTTGGATCGAGAGGTTCTGAGTCCAAATTCTCCATGACACTTCCATGAAGCTCAGGCATGTGACCTGAAGGAGCCAGGAGGAGGCAGGAAGGAAAACCCAGATGCCACTTCCTTCCCACTGCAGTCTGGAACCCCCTCTCCATACAAGCCTCACTCTGGGGCTCTGACATGATCCTTGAGGCTAGGTCATAGAGGTGGATGCAGGGGGATTGTGGGGGGCAGGACAGATGCACTGGAAGCCAAGATTAGGGTCTGTCACATCCTCCTTCCTTGTTTCATTTGAAGAAGTCTGCTCTCCTCCCTTGCCCCCATCCCCTGCGGTCTTAGGCAGGTGGCAATCCCAGGCATGGTCGTACATCTCCCTGGACACTGTTACTGGTTCAGGCAAGTGACCCAAGCTGACCCAACCAGGGTCTTCCTTAGGACTTCTGCTGGAAAGGCCGTTCTTTTTTGGATCACTAGCTCTAAGAATGTAAGCATAGGGCTGCCACATAGAGAAAGTCTATCTGCAGCAGGAGAGAATGAAGGCTGTATGAAAAGAGAGGCAGAGATACACAGAAAGAATAGATTGAGGAGTGGGGAGGGAAGGAGATGAGAGAGAGAAAGAGACCTATGGCGTGATTTGAGTCCCTGGGTTCAGCTGTGCCTGAATTCAGACTTAGCCCTGGATTTCCCAGGTATAATAGCGTTAATTAATTCCTTCGACCTAACTTAGTTTGAGTTGGGTATCTTCATTTGCAATCAGGGCCTGCCCAACACCTGCAAATCATCAGCTCTCTCCCCTTTCTCACAGTAGCCACCATTTATTAAACATAAATTATTGCTTCTCATATCTTAAAAAAGCCCTCCCCACCATTCTATGAGGATGCGGGATGATTATGATGGCTACAAATTCTTTGCCACTCTCCTGCTGAGTGGTGGAGTCTATTTCCCCCTCCCTTGAATTTTGGGTGGTTCTGTGACTTGTGTCAACCCATGGGGAGTGACAGCGATGCCGTGTAACTTCCAGGGCTGGACCTGAAGAGGAGACTTGCAGCTTCTGCCTTCAGGTTTGGCACAGTCTATTTTGAAAGCCAGCCTTATGTCAGAAGTCCAACTACCCCGAGGCCACCACACTGTGAGGAGGTCCAAGCTAGCCGCGTGGAGAGAAGGAGGCCACCGGAGAAACTGAGGCACTAGACATATGAATGAAGCCCCTTGGCCTGTCCAGCCCAGCCCAGCCCCCAGAAGAATGCAGCCAAGTGAGTGACCATAGGCAACAGTTCTGCCATAAGGAGCAGAACCACCAAGCTGAGTTCTGACAAATTCCTGAGCTGAAGGACTCATGAGAAGTAATTAGTTTGGGGTTGTTTGCTATGCAGCAATGGATAACTGAAACGGAATGATATTCCCATTGTATAGGTTAAAAAAATGAGGCTCACACGGCCTATACTGTAAACCTCTAAGCAGTAGCACCAGCTTCAAACCCAGAGCTCCTGAATCCAAAGCTGATGCCTTGCCCTCCATGCCTGATGGGGAGGCATTCCCCACTGCAGGATGTAGACTGTGGGAGGACTGGAGGCTCTGAGACCCAGCCGTGTGGCCACACCTTCCCCCATTCTCTTTGGAGGAGGATGGTGACATGATGTTCAGCTCTGGAGAACCTAGAACCCCAAACTCTTCCTCTCTGTCCCTTCATCCTCACCATCAGCTTCCCGAGAAAGAACCAGAAGGAAGGAACTGTGGTTAGGTGCCAAGACAAACCTTGGGACAACTCTGCACGGTCTTCCTCCAAGTGTGATTAGAAATGCTGTTCTGGGCAGCCTTTTCAATGTTAATGGGGGCAAAGTTAGTTTCAGTGGTAACAAAGTCTGATGTTACTAATAACGTATTTTCATCCCATTCTATAGTTAATAAAGGACTTTAATCCTATGGGCTTGGGTGGCCCTAAAAGTCTACCCCCTCAAATTCTCCAGGGGTCACAGACACAGAAGAGCAGATGAAGGTGTCACACTCCCCCGGAATTGAGATGAGGGATGAAGTGAGAGCTGAGTGCACGTCCAGAGACTTCTCGTCTTCTCTCCCTGGCCGCTTTCAGTCTGCTCCTTTAAAGGAGGATTGCTAGTTCTTCCACAGCTTGCAGATCCAGGCCCGAGATGTGTGACAAGAGTGAACAAGAATGCCAAGGGAGAGATTTGGCACTCTTTACTAAGGTTGTCAGGAAAGCTGGATCTAGTTGGGGGGGGGGGGGGGCAAGATAAGGACTCCAGATGATGACCCCTGAGATGCTAGTTCTATCAAAACCATCTCCCTTCACACACTCCTTCCAGAGCCTGGCCCCATGGCAGCCCGCAGGAGACCAGCGCCCCTCCAAAACTGTGGGCCCAGTCCTTTTGGTTTAAATATCTTTATTGATACTAAACTTACCCACCCACCCCGTGGCCAGCAGTTCTGAGGCATCCGGCATCCAGAGGCCTAGAGACTGGCTCTTTGGTTTCCATCTGAGGGCCAAGGAAACACAGGGGCTGTATAGTCTCCCTTAAGAGCCCCCAGAACGCCTCTCGGGGGTCCCTCCCATGCCCTGGGCCTTCAAAGAGGGGCGTGTATCTCAAGCCCCCCTGCCTCACAGTTTACAAAGGCCCGGGAGAGGGACTTTCGCAAGGGGAAGCTGGGCCGGGACAGCGTCCCCTGCTGAAGACCAGAGGTCCCGCAGGTGCCGAGAGGCGGCGGCGCGCGCCGTTTGGAGAGCCGCGCGGCGGGTCAGAGGCAGAGGCTGAGCTCTTTGTGCACGCGGCAGCGGTGGCACTGCACTACGCAGCACCAGTGGAAGCGACACAGGCAGTTCTCCTCGAGCTGCACACTCTCCTGGCGGTGCCCGCGGCCGCAGCACAGCAGGTCGCAGCCGCTGAGGTCCGGGGCACTGCTGTTGCAGGCGCGGCCGCGCGTGCCGGGCGAGCCGGTGCGCCGGTTGGGGGCGCAGAAGTCGGGCGAGTCGGCGGCGTAGAGCAGGTCGGCGCGGCCCGGCGGCTTGAGAGTGCGGACGGCGGGCAGCAGAGCCTTGCCGTCGTTGGTGCCCATGACACGCGAGGCACCGTGGAAGCGCTCGAGCAGCCGCGCGCCCACCTCGCGGAACGGGGGCAGCTTCTGCCAGCAGGTGCGCAGCGCGCACGAGCCCGACAGCCCGTGGCACTTGCACTCGGTGCGCGTATGGCTCCGCACAGCCTGCGGGGAGCAGAGGAGCAGCGTATGGGGACAGATGGGGGACGCAGGGCGCGGAAAGCCCCAGAGGACCATCAGAAAATAAGATGGGAACGGTGGACAGAAGAGGGGAAAGAGCAGACCAGAAAAAAGGAGAGCACAAGGTGGGAAGGAGTAAATCAAGGCAGCCACAGCCCCGAGGAGGAATAAGAATGATAAGGGTGGAGGAGTGGGAGAAATGGGGAGTGGGGGACAGTATGTGGTGCAGAGATTCCCGGATACAAAGCCAGGGGATGGGGGAGAAAGGAAAATGGAAGGCAAGGGTGAGAGTCTTCCTGGAGGAGTGGGGGAGGTGGCAGCTGTCGCGCCCCATTCCTCTTGCCAACCCGGCCCCCTCTTTCCTGCCCCTCACGGCCCCAGGCAGCGCTAAGCAGAGACGCAGAACTGGCCGCCTGGGCGTCTGTCTCCGCCACTCCTCCCCAACCCTCTCCAACAGGTATGTGGGCCTGTCCGGACATTCCTCTCCGGTCCCTCGCACCCCCCTGCCCGATGCCTCAGGCCCGAACCCTACAGGACACAGGATGTGTATGTGGGTGTCGCTGGAGCACTCCAGAACTGAGGCATAGGGTGCAGGAGGGCCCCTGGTGACCCGCTTCCGAGAACCAGAACCCAGGAACCCTGCCCCTTATTTGGTTCTTGGGTCTGAAGCAGGGGTCTAAGAATCACAACGTGACCAGAGATTAATGGGGTCAGATGACCCAGGAAGATCATCTCAGGAAGCTCAGAGTTCAGGGGCCAACCTGATCTGCAGACTTGTGTGTTTCCCTCCCCCTGCAGGGCCCCTCTCCTTCCCTCCACCGCCTCCTGGAAGCATCTCATGGGACAGCTTCTTGTCCCTAAACAGGAGCTCCTAGGGTCCTCATTGCAGAGAAAAGGGGCAAGCTGCAGGGTTCTGGGCAGGGCCTGCTCTGGGGTTGCTGGGCAGCCAGCAAAGTGCCCAGGTTTTGTCACGGCTCTCCTGGCCTCTGCCTGGCCCCCCCCTACCTCCCCCAGGATCTACTCTGTGTCCTTCACTCCCTTCCAAGCTCTTTGCCCCTTGGGCCTGTTCTTCCCCTTTCCAGGCCTCTCTCACTTCTCCTGGCTCCCCTACCTCCAGAGCCCAAACCTTTGCCCCAGCTTCTCTCCTTTCTTCCATCCCAGCCTTTGGCTCCCTCCTCTGCCCTGCCCTGGCAGCCGGAGCTCCACCCACTCCCAGCTTTGTCCCACCTGTCCTGTCTCAGAGGGATGCCCTCCCTACCTGGGGTCCCTAAAGGGCCTGAGTCCTCTGCTCTGAGTGTCCCCTCCCCACCCTACCCACTGGACCACCAACCTCGGGCCCTCCCAGGCCCAAATGACTCCCTCTTCTAGGTTGGCCACCTCACCTCCCACATGCCAGTCCACCCCTGGAGCCAATCTTCCTAAGTGGTCCCCTCCCACCTCCTGGTTGCACACCCATTAACGTACTCCTACACATACACACCTCACTTCCTCACACATTTTCACTCACTCACTCCAACACACATACCTCTCTCCCACATCCACTCACACCAACTCACACATTCCCACACTTGCACACACACGCGTTTCCACACACACATTTCCACACTCTTACACATTCCTGCGCATACCCACCAGCCGGCCTGCCTCGTTGTTGTGAAGCTGCACCAATGCACGGATGTCTCCGCGTCCCCGCTTGTGCCGCGCATCCATAAAGAGCCTCGACTTCTCATCCCCGAAGTCCACGTCGTCGCCGCAGCCTCCCCACTCCCAGGCGGCGCTGCCATCCGGGGAGCCCGCAGGGCCAGGGGGCCCCGGGGTGCCTGGCAGGCCAGGGGGGCGGGGTGGGGCGCGCCCCCGGGGCGCCTGGCAGCCGCATTGCAGCAGCTCGCCCATGGAGCAGGCCTGCGTGACCGCGTGGCTGGCACCCGCCGCCGTTATGGCGAACACGAAGGCCGTCTCCCGGATGTCTGCGAGGGCAGGGAGAGCAGTCAGCCGGCAGGACCAAAGCTGGCTCCTGGGGGACTGCGGTGGGCGAGGCAGTGTGACCTGGGGCTGGGAGACAAGGTCAGGGCAGGGTGCCCAGAGACCTGTGGAAAAGCATCCCCAAACGCCCACCCTCTTCTCTGGTCCCCCAGCTCCCCTCCCCGCACTGACCCTGCTGCAGGATGCGCCCGAAGGCCTTGCTGTGGCTGGAGCAGTTCCAGCGGCGGAACCGGAACTGGAACTGGCACTCTCGCACCCCTAGTCGGGCGCCCCGGGCCAGCTCAGCCACCACTTCTGGCTCGGCCTGGCACAACTCAGCCTGCCGACCTGCCAGCCGCCGTGCCTTCCTGCAGATGCTGGTAGGGTCCATGACCAAGGGGCTGCCCACGGCCCTGGGGAGGAAAGAACAGAAGGAGGGTATAACCCAAAGGGTTTGGGGTGAGGGGAGGGAGACGAGCTCTGTTCACCCCACAGCCAGGAACTGGCACGTGCCTCCTCCCCACCCCACCCCCACCAACTGAGATTGAGATTGTCCTGTCTGGTTCTCTTCCATGCCTGTGTTCCCTCTTAACTAGATTCTAGACTGAAATTGATGTCGAGCAAGGATTCAGTATTACCCTTCTGTGCATACCTTCACTAATAATTTCCTATGCGAATTTGACTCAAGGTGAAGGCAGCTGGCACCAGGTAGGCCGAGGTTAAAATTCAACAGGCCTGGCCCAAAGGGAAACAAGGAAGAAATTAACAGAAGGGAAATAAAGAAGGCTATCAAAGAAAAGAAAGTGTGTATCATAAAGAGATAGCAAAGAGAAGTAGGTACTATCAGAGAAGGATCTGGTCTCAGTGGACGACAAACTGGATATGTGTCAGCTTAATAAGTGTTGCTAGAAAGGCAGGGGCCATCCTGGGGATCTAGATAGCCACGGGATGGTAGAGTGGCGAGGGAATGGAGGTTCTGAGGAAAGTCACACACACACCCTCTCTATAGCCCAAGTTTGTCTGTCTGTAAAATCCGGCTGGGCTTTGGTCTCTAAGGTGGGCCCTCCCACCCTGACATCCTCTGTTTCCCTGAACTGGAGAGCAGGAGCAAGGGGCTGGGGATTGAGTGTCTGGAGCATTGTTGTCAAGTAGGTGACACTGACTCTTCTGCTCCAGGGTCTGTGACCTTTCCAGAGCAGGACAGTAGCAAGCCAAGCGCTGTGCCCTGGGATGACACAGCTGACTGGGGAAGGGGGTGCTGTTTGGCTTGGTGAATAAAGACCTCACAGGAAGTTCCACCCACTTTCAGAAATCCCTCCATTTCCGGCCTTCATTCCACCTGAGGAGAGAGCTGCCGTTTGGTTTCCATATACCAGAGCCCTGCAGGTAAAGTCAGCTGGGTATTCACATCTGCGTGGAACCCCTGTAATCAGATTGCTCTCATTCGAACGCTTGGCTAGGATCCCTGTGTTGTAGGAATGAATGGGAGCCAAGGGTAATTTGAGACCACTCAAAAACCTTTCAGCAGAGGGCAGAAAAAGACTCTGGGAGGGGAGAAATGGCAGCAGGAGATAGAAAATGCAGAAGAAAATGGTGGCAGATGTGTGCCACAGGTCAAAGTGGCCTACTTTTCAGTTTGGCTTTGGTACACATCCACCCCACTGTCCCCATTGGCTCCACAAGTACAAGCTGCCCAGGCATGTTCTGGCCCCACAACCATGAGATGCAACGTGCTTAAAGAACAGCAAGAGGAATTTAGGTCTTAAGGTAGAACTTCTCAACACCAAGGAGTGAGAGGCTGGAAGAGGCGGTTGCAGGAAGATGTGTAAGCTGAGTCCTTTAAGGTCTCCTACCACACACAGCCCCCCACCCTAACAGGTCATGGTCGTCATCCCTACCGAGTAGTACAGGAGCCAAGGTTCTCTCCTCAGTGGAGAGGCTTATAGTCCAGACCTTCCTTCCTCCGTGCTTAGGACCTGCCAATCACTGGAAGTGTCTCCTGGGAAGGTCCAGCCCCATCCCTTCCCAATCCTGGAGAAGTGACAGATGGAGCAGTGGGGACTGGGCCAAGGGTAGGGCAGCCCAAGATGGCTCCCAGTGGCCCAGTGACCTTCAAAAATCATTCATTGTCTATCTATTTATCTGGCCCCTCTCCATCCGCTTATCCCACTTCATTACGAAAAGGATTTGGGGCAGCTTCCAGTTTGGTTGTGCAGTGTCGGTAGGTAAGACCTTGAGTGCCTTGAGAGTTAGGACTGCCATTTTCTTTTGCCTCCCATGGCAGATTATTAGGTGCTTAATTCATATTTCCCCCCAATTAGGGAAATTTGCATATTATGAACAATTACCATCGTACTACAATGAATACCATTTAACACGTCTTTTTGAGTGAATGGATGAACGAGTCATTTAAGGAGAAGGTCCTCACTTGAGCCCAGGCCCCAGTCTACAGGTGACTCATGACTCCTAAGTAGCTTCCTCGAATCTTTTCTTTTCCCCACTGGATTCAGAGGCAGGGAACCAGGCCTCCCCACAGCTGTCCAGCGCCGCCCCTGCCACCTGCATGTCCGCGGCTCCACCGCCCAGGAGCTTAGGGCTCTGCAAACTCATCTTTTCCACCCCCGCTATGCTATGCTGCTAAGTTCCCCAGTCTCCCCTCCCCAACCCTGCCCTCTGCTAACTCCCTACTTTCCCAAGGTTGACTGGCCTTATCTTCTCAAGGTTACTCTGCCCCATCCCACTTCTCTCCCTCTACTGCCCTAGAAAAGGAGGAGAGGGTGGGGGTACCCACGGGCGAAAGGCGAAACCATCGACCTCCCTTGTCTGCTTCCCAGGGGCTAGAGATAGAGGAGGGATTAGGGCACGGCCCTTCAGGAGGTGGAGCCAGCCCTTCTCAGGGTTGAGGGGCTGCCCCAGAGCCAGGTCCTGGTCTGGGTCTGGCTCCTCAAGCTGGCTGGCTGCCTGGGAACTAGATTTGTTTACGAGTTGGTCAGGAGGAGGGATGGGCAGTATTGCAGCCAGAATCCCAAGAGACCAGCTTGCTCCCTGCCCTCCTGTCCTCGCTCCCATCCTCGAGTCCCAGGAAAGGAAACTCCAGAGGGGGAGTGGCAGGGAGGCATTGGGTAAAACACCGCCTCACTTCCAAGCTTTGGTCTCTGTCGACTGAGTGAGCTGAGCCACTCTGGGCAAGTCAGTTTCCTCTCTGGGCTTCAGAAAAATGAAGAGTTAGCATGAGAGGCTCACACATCCCCTCTAACTTTAATGCTTGACTCCGCATCAAGAAATAACTCCCCCATCTCCCCTCTTCCTGTACCCTGCTTCCTTCCCATCTGCTTCCTTAGGGAATGAACTCTGCTTTTGGGGCCTCTGAGTCAGCACTGGCCTGGGATCAGCCCAGAGAAGATGTGCCCATTTGGGAGCATCAGCATGTTTTGCGGGCTGGAGCGCAGTGGTGGTAGGAAATATATAATATATAATATGTTGGATCAGAGATCCTAATCAAATAGCTATTCCTGGGCATAGAAAAAAGGAGGCTAGCCCCAAAGGAAATCAGTATGCAGACAAGAATGGACAAGCCTAGGGCTGGCCATCCTAACTGGCTTGGCCTGTGCCAAGATTTTCCTCCCAGGAAGGGACCTTGGTTGGTAGAATCAGTAGTGGAGTGAGGTGGCATCAGGGGCCAGACAGATCCTACTGGCAACATCCGTAGATCTAGGCCCTGGAGGCCCCGGGTTCTGGCCTAACCTACCTTTCCACCCCTAGATTTAGAAGGCCAAAGAGAATGCCAGTGACCAATTAATTCACTCCACCCACTTTACCCCCAGTATACAGGTGAGCGATATGAGAAGTGAGGTGGCCGACCCTGGCCACTCAGTAGAGGAATCCTTATTGCAAGAAAGTTAGGGGAATCTTTTAGAAACCAAAGAGGCTGGAGGGATATGGCCACATGCGGTATCTGAAGACCTCAGGTGGCCTCACACGCCATCCTCCACACGGCCCTCACTCCTACCAGGGCTGGTGAGCTCTGCATCCATCCCAGATTACATCACTACGTTTCTGGACTCAGAGCCACCCCCTAAGCCAACCCCTAAGTTATCAAAATCCCCCCCAGCGTCTCTCGAAGCTCACCTGGGATTCCACTTGCCCTAAGGAGCCTGGCTGACCTCCCCCCGCTGCCTCACTCCAGGTGTCACTCATTTGGGGGACACTTGTTCTCTTGCCAGTGATGTAATTATTTTGTGATATTTTCTTGTCTTATCTCTCCGATTAGAAAACTCATCAAAGATGAAGATCTCACAAGGAAGCATAGTGTCGTCAGCAGAGCACGCTCGGGCTTGGAGGCCCGTGGGACTGTGGATCTGGGCTCTGCTATCTGCTGGTTCTGAGATGCTGGGTCTCCAGCACGTGAGGTCGACGCTTAGGATTGGGGGAATGAATGATGGAACTTAACCTTCTGAGGCTCAGTCTCCACCGCAGTAGGATGGAAGTAAATAATAATACCTGCCTCCTTCTCGGGTTACATATGAAAAGAGCCTGTCCAGAGAGTGGCTTGCACAAGTGTTTTTCGTCTTCCCCTTCACAGCCGTATCCTTCTCCTGGGCCTGCACAGCGCGGGGCAAACAGGCGGAGTACAGATGGTGTTGGTGGGTTCCTGAGAACACTCTTTTCTCCAACTCTCTGTCCTGACTTCTCAGCCTGGACCCCTATGTCTCCCCCTCCCCTATCAGCCCTGCCTATGGACCAGAAGCACCTTCCATGACCATCTTCTTCCCCAGCAAGCACTCCTGGAGGCATGATTGAGGCCAAGGGGATCACAGACCCCTTGGATGCCCAGCCTCCTCTAAAAGGTCTCATAGCCGGCCCCCTCTATTTCCCCACATTGATCCCCAGGGTCCTTAGTCTGACCCCCACCTCCCAGGAGCCAGCAGAGGGAGCCGTGAGCCCTGGGGCTGTGGGTGGGGGCTGCACGGGGGTGGGGGAGGTGGGTGGTGGAGAAGGGGCAGAAAAATGTTGCCTGACGGCTGCTGAGGCGGCTGGGCCCGGGCCTGTGCCCGCCAGCCTGTCCTGTCCTGCTCTGCCTAACTCGGTAATTACTGCTCCCCCTCCCCCAGTCCCTACCCCCACCCCAACCACCACATCAAAGCCAGTGATGCCCGGTTCCATTAACCCCTGCTTCCCCACCGCCCACCAGCCACCCCATTCCACCGCTCCCCCCTGCCCCCAGCCCCAGTTGGTGCCTCCTGCCCAGTCTTGGACACTGCCCTTCCCAGCTCCTTACACTTCTGTCCTTCTCATTGCTCTGGGGAGAGGCAGGGACTTGCCCTTCCCTGACAGATCCCACCATACGAGAGGGCTTCTTATTGGTCAGAGCCGTGGGAGCAAAGGAGTAGACACATTGACCATCCACTGGATGTCCTGAGGAGAATCTGTCATGTGCCTTCTGCTCTCCCATGCTCAGGTGGGGAACACCCAAGTGAGGGTGGGGATGGGGGAGCAGAGGGGGCCTGTGGAAAGCCCTGTACCCGCTTCCCGACCCCCACCCCCTACTGCACACAAGGATGAGGTACTCAGCAGAAGCTGGACTCCCAGCCCTAGCCCCCAGCTAACTGCACTCTGGGTGGCCTCAGGCAAGTCACCTTCTGTCCCTGGCTTTTGCTGGACTTCTCACCATAAGTGAGAAGATTGGGCCGGAGGATCTCGAAGACCTTTCTGGATCTAATTTTTGGATTGAACGGAGGGCTCAGAGCTGGAGGAACCAGCCAAAGAAGCCAGGTGGGAAAGGGGAAAGGACCTTTCCTTCCTTCAGCTCCTCCTCAGTCAGGCCGGGGAAGCACCCAAGGTCTCGCCCCACCCCACCCTGGGCAGGAAGGAGGCAGGCTAGAGGGCACTGGCCTCAGTCTCCAGGGACAGGCTTCTGTGTTCCCCAGGCGCCTCCTGCTCTGGCTGGCGGGGCGCCCTGCTGCCAGCCTGACCGCCCCGCCCTCGCCTCTTCTACTCCACAGCTGTGTTTCTCCCTCAAAGTACACATTCTGGAATCCCCCTTGCTGGGCCCTGGTGATCAAACCTCCCGCTGACCTCCCCCCACCAACTCCTGGCTTCTGATGAGAACGGGGCAGGAGGGGGCTGCCCCCCCAGGAAGTGTCACCATGCCAGGACTCTGGTGGGCTCAGGGCATGCTCTGGCCAGATCAAGCCAGCCTCCTTTGCCCCTGCCCTTTTCTGCTCACAGCCTCATTGTCTCCCTCCAGGGGAAGCTGCCAAGGCGGGAGGGCTGGAGGTGGGGGGGACTGGATGGCCACCCCACCCCCATCCCCACCCCACCCTGAGCCTGGCGGGGGCCAGGAACAGGACTGCCCATGAAGGGTCAGAGGCCTCAGATGAAGCCGGGATGGGAGAGGGTGGCCAGGCCCTGCCTGCGGTGGGGGTCACAGCTGCAAACCTGGGTATCAGGAAGAAGCTGGGGTCCTTTCCCTGCCTCCCTGTGGGGCCAGAGATGAGGCTGCAAGATGAGATGGGGGAAGGGAGTAAGACTGGGTGGTGTTTTTCCTAGTGGAACAAGGGAAGGGCTCGTTTCGTTCATAGAAAATATGAAACAGAGGAAAGAGGAAGAGAGAAGGGAGATTGATTTGGCTATTCTGTGAGAGTGGGCTATTTTCTACATCCATTGATTGAAGGTATAAATAAAGATGGGTGGAACACTGAGAAGAACTTTCTGGGGGAGGGTGGGAGGGGTGGGAGCTGGTGACCAGGAAGCCATAGCCTCTCCTTCTGTGCTCACTCTCAATACGGTATCTGTCAGGTCCAGAGCATAGACTGGGTGGCCCGGAGGCAGTGGGCTGGACAAAATGACCTCAAGGGAGCCTGGCCAATGTCCTGGAATCTGGGATTCTGCGATTCACAAAGATATGGTTACAGACAGGAGAGAGACAGACAGAGAGGCCAGAGGCAGAGTTTAGAAAGCATGCATTGCATTGGGAAGAAGGAGGAGGGGGAAGAAGGTGGAAAGAAAATTTCTCTGGAACATGGAGCCAGGTCCTTGAGCCTATTCCAGGGCCTGGACCACTCCCCTCCAGGACCCTGCTTTCCTAACCAGTACTGTCAAGCCACTCAGAGTTCCTGGGGTCCTCTCTGCTCCCAGCCTGGCTGCTGCTGGAATGTCAGAGTGGGCTGCAGTGAGCTGCTGTGGGTCCAGCTGCTTCCCTCCCGCTGGAGCTCTGGCCTGGCCAGCATTTTCTGAGAAGCAGGGAAAAGAGAGCCAGCAAGCGGTCCTAGACATCAGAGAACAGCCCGGAGGCTCCTGGTCTGAAAAAGCTCTTAGCCAAAATGAAGCTGCGGGGTTGGGGGGTGGTGGTGGTGGGATGAGTGGCAGGAGCCTCAGGCTACCTGGGATGCTGGGTCTGGCCCACCAGCCCACTCCCAATGATGGAAGGAAGGGGTGAGGTGGGGACACGAGTGTAACCAAGCAGATTCAGAGATCCTGAGAAAGGGAATCTGGGCTCAGACCAGAGGAATGAAGTGTCAGACACAGACAGAAGAGAGGGAGGGGGCCAAGGCAGCGGGGAGAGGCAGGGTCTCTCTGAGAAGCATCTGAGCCAGGCAGTCCACCTTATCACCCTAGCCCCTCACTCTTCACCCGCCTCGCCCTGCAGCTGTGGCCATGAAGGCCTCTGTGTTCTCCCACACCTGCCCTCCTTACCTCCTCCCCCACTCCCTGCTTCTCAGCTTCAGGGTCAGTCTCCAAGGGACCAGGTCTCTCTCCCTCTGGCTTGGCTCCCACCCAGCAGCCCCTCCTGAACAAAGGAACCCCCACAGATACAAACCCCAGAAAGCTGAATCAAGCAATTCAGCAACACTCCACAAAACTGTCCCCTGCACATTTAGCCCAGGGCCCTAAAGACAAAGGCTGTCCCTTCCAGGAGCAGGGAAGAGAGAGCCAAGAGGAGAGGGTTGTCAGTAAATTGTGGTAACTGGCATAGTTTCCCAATGCATGGGGTGCAGTGGGAGCACAGAGAAGGCAAGGGAGGAAAGACAGAGGGACAGCTTCATGGTGGAAGTGGTATTTTTAACTGAAAGGATGAGAATGATTTGGACAAACGGAGTGGGAAGGAAGGGAAAGCGACAACCACCAGGGAGAGACCCCTGTCCCCATACTTGAGAAAGGGCAAAGTTAGGAAATGTGTGTTTGGGGAGCAAGAGAGAGCTCTTTAAAAAGTTTTGCTTGGGGCCCTGGATTTTAAATTTAAATTAATCCCCCTTTTCACACGTGGGGACTCCAGCCAGGAGAACATGGGGTGTGGAGGAGGGAACTTAAATCTTTGGAGCACCTTCCAACGTCAGGTCATTTTGTAGGTCATCCCTCCTAATCCTCCTAACTAGCCTGCCAAGTAGGGGGGCTGTTTGCTTATTTTACAGTTGAGACGTTGGGGAGCAGGGAGAAGCGACTGCCCCAAGTCACAGACTTAACAAATGGCCGAGATTAGATCTCAGGTCTGTCTATTTCAAAGCCGCTACTGCTTTATGCTAAGTCAGGATCAAAAGATGCATGTTCCCTAGCCAGGACCTGGGTCATCCTCAATTTGCCCCCTCACTGACACTCCCGAGGGACGTCTCTCCCGCATCATGGGAGAGGGACCGCGGCCAGCAGCTCCCTGTGTGGGCATCCTGCTCTGGATCCTCTAGAAGAGAGGGCTCTGCCTGCGCCACGCCTCCTTCCAAATCCGGCGGTGGGGGAGGACCGGGGGTAGAGCAATCCAGCCAATGACATGGAGATATGCAAATAGACAAGCCCCTGCCCTCTTAGGATTGGCTGACGCATCAGCGGTATTGTCCAAGTCCCTCCTCTCTAAACACTGAGCTATTCCGGGCGGGTCTTTGCTGCTCTGGAGACTGGGAAGGAAAAAAAAAAAAGGCTACGGGATTCGGATCTCTGAGCGGGCACCCAACCTTCTCAGCCCCTGTCCACTCCCCAAGACTCAAAGTTCTCGCAACCTTCGCTGCCTAGGTGTCTGCTCCAGCTGGGCCAGGTCTGGAGGCCAGGTCTGGGAAGACGTCCCCATCCCTCGGCTGGCCCGGCCTCTCTCCCTTCCCCTAGGACTCTCCCCGGTTCCCAGGACCTCCTGAGCTGCACGTCTTCTCATCCACGACCCCCAAATCTGGAAGGGCCGGGTGTCTGGGTCCCTTTCCTGCCTTTCCTCCTCTTTGCTTGGGGAGGAGGAAGTAGAGAAAGTCAAGGTCCTGACTCAGTCTCCCCCTTTCCTGCCCACTACTGCCCACTCTGAAGGAGCCCAGAGAGAAGCTGGTGGGTAAAGTGGGGCGAGGAAGAGGCAGCCGTTTGACCCTGCCTCGCCTGTGCTTCCCACCTTGCTCCTCTCTTTTCCCCAAGTCCAGCCTGTCTCCCCTAAATGCAGAGCCCCCATCACACACTCTTTTCTTCGGATCTCAGACTACCGATCTTACCCCTCTCTCCGTGGTAGCTCTCTCCTACCCACCCGCCAATTCCTTGGTGACCTGGATGGAGCGCATAACCTGGGGAAGGTGGGGTGGGGGGTGTGGGACACGGGAGGAGGAAATACGCTAGGATGTGCGAGGTGGGGTGGGGGGTTAAGAACGTCTAAGTGGCGGATCAGAAGTGCCCCTGGCGGAGGCCGGCAGGAGAGCGGCACGCACCTCCCGGGCACCTCTCCAGCTGCCCTGAGGCTGGGCTCCGCGCGCAGGTAGAGCTCAGAGGCAGTGGAGCGCGGTTTGGAGCCCCGCGATGGGTCCCGAGGTCCCCACCCTCGAGCGTCCGGAGCCGCGCGGGGTCAGCCTGGTGCAGCACTCACCACCACAGTCCGCCGACGTGCGCCGGACACAGGAGCAGCAGCAGCAGCAGCCCGAGGCGGGAGGGCGCGGGCGGCAGCATCGTGACCGCTCTACGGCCGGCCGGTGCGGGCAGTGGGCGAGACTGCGGGGCCAACCGGTGCACGCGCGGGCCCAGGCTTCAGGGCGCGCGGGGCGACGGCAGCGGCGGCCGGGAGGCGATGGCTCCGGCGGCGGTGGCGGGGGGGCCCATCCCGGGCGAGGAGGGCGCGGCGGAGGCGGAGAGCGGACGGGGCAGCCAGCGCCTGTGTCTCCTGCCGAGCTCGCTCGGGAGAAGAAATCAGAGCCGGGGGCGGGGGTGGGAGGGAGCGGGGGCGAGGGGCAGGGGGGCCGTGGGGGTGGCAGTTGCGACAGTCAGGCGGCGGGACTCTCGGGAGGGAGCCGTGCGCCCCGGGGCGGCGGGCGCGGAGCTCAGCGGAGGGCGGGAGCGAGGTCCCGGGGCGGGGCCCGAGAGCGCTCGTGGCTGCGGGACCCGCCTGCCTCGCCCCCTCACCTCGCCTCTCGCGGACTGGGAGCCCCCCGCCGCCGCCCGGAGTCGGGGGCAAGGAGGGGCGGGGAAGTAGGGTGGAGAAGGGTAAGAGCGGGAAGGAAGAGGAGCTGAGGAATGGGGGACGGGCTGGAAGGGAGACGTTTGACAGGTTTGTTGACTGTAAAGAGAGAAAACTTCCCAGGAATGAGGGAGTTTGGGTGGGTGGGGGGGCGGTGCGGAGGGAGATGCTGGAGCGGGGGCCAGGAGAGGAAGTCGGCCGGGGGGCGCTGGGTGCTCCGGGGTTGGGTGTCGAACTCGATGGCCCAACGGGCCGTCTCTGGAGGGGTCATCTCTTACCGGGCCCCGCCTCCGCGCCGCACGCCCCTTTCTCAGCCTTTCCTTGCCAAAAGGAGGAAGCCCTAGGCCTCCACTCTCGCTCCCCAGCCACCCCGCCTCTTCAAACCCGCGTCCGGGGGAGGGAGGTGCGGAGAGAAGATTAGACAGCAAGAGGAACCTCTTGATGGCCTGCGCTCAAGCGCTCGCACGTGTAAGCGAGCGATAGAGCTGAAGTTACAGACTTGCCAGAGAGGGAGAGGTCAGAACGCCCCGCAGCCGGGCCTCGCGTGTCCGCGGGTCCCTGCCTCACGTTTCTTCCCCGGCTTGGCCCGGCCAGAAGGGGTGGGAGAGCCAGCTGCAGGTGAGATGGCGTTTATCTGATTCTCTAATGCCGCAAAAATGTCTTTGATGCCCCTGGCCCCCTCCCCACGGGGCGAGATCAAAGGCCCCGTGGGGAGGAGGGACAGCTCCATTCATCACGCTAAGCAGCCTGGCAGCCACTGCAGTCCCTGCTCCTCCCCTCCGGCCCCGCGTGCCCCAGGGGTGTCGAGGGACAGGTGGTGCGGGACATTCCACAGCAAGGGCCAATCTCTCTACCACCACCATCTAGAGTGGCCATCAACCTTTAAGGGTGTCCTGGGGTGGGGAGGACAGATTGAGGACCTCAAGTAAGTGTGGCAGAAACTTCAGGCTCCCGGGGGAAATTTCCAGGTCGTCTGGAGTGGGGGGACACCTGGACTTGGGGAGGGAGGCCACTACCAAGAGAGATGCACAGCCCTGATGAGCAGAGAGAGGGCAAGATCCTGAGTCCCCCAGAGAGTGGAGACAAGTGGATCAAGATAAGGCTGGGGGACCAAAGGGATGCGACAAAAGATCATAGGTGCTTAACCCAGGGGAGGAGACAGATTCAGGAAAGGAAGGATGAGAAAGTGGAGAAGAGAAAAGAGATAGAGAAACGTTAGCCTAAGCACTTAGGGAAGCCCTGGGGTTTGCTGGGAGCCCCACCCCAGGGCACTGGTGTCCAGGCTGTGTCAGTCTAACCCCTTGTACTAGGTACAGAGAGTTCTGGTGGGTGGTGGCTAGGGCACTCTAGAGAAGGGGAAAGGATGGGGGGGGGGCCTAGTGGCTGAGGGAGCTAGTGAGGGGAGCATGGCCCAAGTGCTGCCCCCCCATTTTAGCCTTTAATATTATCCAGATGCCATGCACAGCCCTGCACCTATTAATTTTGTACACAGTTGCTCTTTCTGCAGGCAATGCCAGCTCTGGACATTGCACATTCAAAGACGTGCCCAGGTTGGGCACACGCTCAGGCCAGATGGTGCCGAACAGGCAGCTGGAGGGCTCTAGGGGTCCCTTGAGGCTGCAGGTGGCCAATGAGCAGCCCCCTGGGAACCACTGCCTGGGTTCCGAACCCCTGTCCACCCCTGCCCCCTCCCTGCTACTGTTATTGCAGATTATGAAATGCTCTCCCTATCCTGCATTCTTCTCCGAGGCAAGAATTTTAATGTATTTGTCTTTGTCATCAGGGGACCAGGACTCTGGGACCGCCCTGCCTCTGCCTGAGGAGGGAGCGCCCCAAGTTTAGTCCCTGCTGCCTCGAGACCCCAGCCTCTCTCCATTACCACCCCCTCATGCCCTGGCCCTGCTCCTCACCTCCCCCTCCTAAGACACAGTCTCTCTGTGGGGTGGATAAAAATGATGTTATTGAAACAACAGAATTGGGAGCAGTGGCAGGGAGCGGGGATCAGCTCAGGAAACTGGGGCGTTTGCCAAGAAGCGTTCTCCCCCGCAGGCGGCCTTTCTGCCCCCACCCCCCACCTTTCCTACAAACACACACAGATCGCCCCACCCCTCCTGCAGTGCTCTCTCTGGCCAGATCTTGCAGAATATTTGGCCATCCCTGGACTCCCTGAGCCCTCATCCTTTCCCCTCACCAGAGTCCCATTCCAGAACCAGTTCACCCAGTAGTGCCTGCAGCAGCACTGGGGCAGTGGAGAGGGGGGCTGCAGTCTGTGATGGGCAGGCCTCCTGAGCCCCCAATTCCCAGGGCCTCAATTCCAAGGGCAACCTTGCCTCTGCCCCCCTCCCATCTAGGGGTAGCTGGCATCTGGGCAGAGGCAGAGCATGACTTCTGCCCTTATGCCCTCCAAACCTTCAGACAGGTGAGTTCAGACATTCCTGAGGCTTCAATTCACCACTATCACCTTAGAAGACATTCCACGGAGCAGGGCTGGGGGACCAGGATATTGAGACAGAGGCACGCAAAGACAGATCAAGATGCGTGCACACACAGGCACACTCACACACACCACAGCTGGGCTCCGGCTTCCAGATCAGCCCACAGAAACCACAGGACACCTTCACCTCCCCTATACAATGCCGGATAACTTTCACCCACAGGTATGGATGGACACACAGGTGGGCTGGCTCAGGTTGAGACACATGCCTGCCTCCCTGGAGATCGCATGCATGCGCGCGCACCACACACACACACACACACACCTCTGTACAGACATGCCTATAGAAGAACAATCACAAAAGATTGAGTGGGAACACAGCAACCCAGAAATAGGCAATGTGGATGGGGTTGGGTCACTCTGATTCCCCGCTTTCTGTCCTCTGAGCGCTGGGCCACCTCCCTCTCTTCCCCCACCACTCTGCCTTGAGTCCTGAGAACCTGTCAACTCCGCTTCCAGGCCCTGGCGCAAATGAGAGCGGGGGAAGGAGAGACATGGGTGTCTGGCTGTGGAGTTGGAGAGGAAGGAGGGGCAGAGGTGGGGACTGTGGAGGGGGAGAGAGGCAGCTGGAGATAGATAAGATCAGAATCGCTGCAGGGGAGAGCGGAGCCCTCTGTCTCTGTTGGATTCTCTCTTGCTGTCTTTCTTGTGTCTTCATGTCTTTCCCATTTCCATAATTCGGCCTCTACTTGTGTCCATCTCTAAATCACTTTCTCTGTTTCTTTGTTTCTCAGAGAGACTGAAGCTGCAGGAGCCCAGGAATTTGGGCCTGTGACCCTTCCCCTCCCAATAACCTCCCTCTCTCCCTCCCTCCCCCCCACCACTGCTCTCCCTCCTTCTTTCACTAGCAATGGGACCTAACTCTCATTCCTTTAGGGTGGTGACAAGGCTTGAGAATTCCTAAGGGCCCTGGGTCCCCTGGTCCCAGGAGAACAGAGAGAGGAAAGGCCAGCCCCCTAGAGAGATGGAGGGAAGGAAAAAAGAAAAGCGAGAGACAGATACATTTTTCTCTCCCTTCTGTATCCCAGATCACTCTACATCAGCTTTTTCTAGGCCACCTGAAGTCATGAGAATGTGCCTTTCCAGCCTGGGGTGGGAACGCAAATGCCTGGTTCCCAGCTTTAGCCAGCCTTTTCCCTGCCTTTCGGGCCAAGTTTGCTCCAAGACTCCCTCTGGGCCTTTGTGGGTGAGGGTTCCCACCCCAGGCCCCAGTTCCCCACAGAGACCACCTGCCTCCCATCTTCCACATCTCTCAACCCTATCCTTGATCCCAACCTTCCCATCACCCCATCAGTCAAAGGGAGAAAGAACCTGGGAGCTTGGAGGAGGGGGAGGGGCGAGCAGGGGCTGAGAGGGAGGGGCTGGGCTGGGGAGAAGCCAGCGAACATTTGTTTCCACTTAGCTCAGCCCCATTGGCCCCGAGTGGGAGTGGTTGGACCCAGGAGCCTCTCCAGCATCCCAGTCCAGGCCTGGCTCCTGCACTATAGACTGCGGGGTGGGCAGAAGGACCCTGGCATGGCCTCGTGTGCTGCGTGGGACATCTCACTGCTCCATTCTTCTCCAGGACCCCACTTATCCCTGCGGCTTCAGCTCTCACCTCTGAGGAGTCAGGGCTCCTCTATCCAGGTCTCCAGACGCAGCCTCTCTCCTAGTTGCATTGGCATCTGCTGGCTATCTCTCCGGCGGCAGCAGTCAGCAAATTTTTAATCGAAAACCTACTATGTGCCAGGCACCCAGCTAGATAGTGGAGAAGCAACAGTGAGCAAAAGCAGACACAACCCCTACCGTCATGGAACTGACGGTCATGAATTGTATCATCCCACCAACAAGTGGAAAACCGCCACGTTGACCTGTGCAGTGGAGGGGAAGGGAGGCAGCTGTGAGAGGCTCTGCTCGGGGGATTGACCAAGTCAGGGCAGGTGGAGAAGGCTTCTCTGAGGAGGGAACGCTCCAACCGAAATTCAAAAACAGTTGGGGTTAACTGGGAGACACAAGGGAGGGAAGAGCATCTCAGGCAGAGGAAACAGCCCTTGTAAAAATCCTGGCGGGGCTTGGAGAAGGTGTGGGCACCAAATCAAGGGCATGGGATTAAAAAGAGAGTGGAAAGCAGCCTGGTGGGAGATGAAGCTGGAGGGGTTTGGGGGGATCAGACCAAGGAAAGCCTTACAGGAGTGGAAGGGAATGTTTTTTCTTATTTTAAAACCAGTGGGAATTCTGCAAGACAAATACATTGCAAGAGGGAAG